TATCTTGTCATATAAGAGTGGGAAGCTGGCTGACGATAAAAAAGTTGAAGTCATCACGTTTATCATAAAGTTGTTAAATTACCATTAAATGATACAAAAATGAAACGGATGTGTTAGGTTCTTTGGTATATCGTGTCAATAAATAAATACGAGTAGAAAGAAAGATATAGAGATAACCTACAGTATTCAAGCTCAAAAGTCCATTAAACGATACTAACTCTTGAGCAGAGGAAATACGGAGTGATCGGATGCCATGGAGGAGTGAGCATCCCCTGCCTACCGGTCACACCTGCAGTGTGCTCCGTGTAATGGTCGGGAAATAACGGAAAAATTCGTCGTCAATTCAGTGTATAAATCATTAATGGCCTTACAATCAGTATGAAAAAAGTCAATCAATATTGCCTTAGTGATGAATTATATTTGCTGACAAGATCATTGAATCGACCATATAGAACTTACGAAATGGTGGCTTTAAAAGAGACTGCTGATAAACTTGTTTCATCAACTTTTTTGTCAATAATTTACCTTGATTTTGAAATTGTTCATACGTAGAGCATGCTCTTGCGTATCGAATCACTGAGATATATAAACCCTTATGCGGGTAATAAAGGTATATTGCTGCATAATAAGGTAAACAGACAATTAAAAGGATAAAGTCATCACGTTTATCATAAAGCTTTGTTGTTAGCTATAGATTACCTTAACGCCCTTTCTTTATTTTTAGTAAAATGGTCAAATATAAACTACATGTGTCAGACTCTGTGGTATCTTTTATTTCAAGCTCATCGGGATGTATCGTGTCAACATAAAAATGGCAATATTATAAGCATCGTGACAATACGTCGTCGATAAATCTTAATGTCGAGTTGAAGGACACAGCAAGTGTTTTCTTCTGTTCACGCATAATATTTTGTACAAAGTCTGTCAAAGGACATACAGTGTAGCAAGTACGTAAGGGTTAATGAACGAGTAGCGGTTCAGGTACCGGGGTTCCAACCACGGGTACTATGACTTTCTTTATGTTTTATTCATGTGAAAATAAACTTGATGAAATTTTCTAAGTTCTTTCCTCGGTAGAGGCACGGGAAGGATAATACGAACGTAACAAATTCTGTTTTCAATGTAATGTGACCGTGTAAAATGAACATATTTTTGAGTAACAATAATTTCCTTTGATAGTGCTTAATATAATATGATTAGAACCGCAAGACATTTGATGCCACCTGTACCTGAGTTAAAGTTTTAATTATTATTCAATTATCTTAATTATGTCAATTATATCATTTTGCTTAGAGTAACTCTTCATTGTAATTGTTTGCTTAATCATTGTTATAAATTGGTTGTTTCATACATGATCGTCAGTTGGAAACTGGACCTTGCATTGTCCACGCCGACACACAGATCAAGTAGAAACACCAAGTTTTGGACCGTTAATAAATTATTAAACGAAGTACCGACTTGTGTATTTCTACCGGTTATATTTGGTGGAGAATCCTAAGGGTAATTTACCCAGGGCTACTACATATACTTTGTAGTAGTTAGATCCCAGTACTCTCATACAGCTAAGCGAGTTTGCCAACCTTCGTACCAGAATTCCCCTAATCATGGATATGTTTCCATTTGCTCCTGCGTGGATGCGACCAGTCAAACCGCGCTTCACCTTGCAACAGTGTGGACGCTGCGGATTAAGACACGGATGGACCGTCTGCAACGCACTGACATCAACTTGTTTCAAGTGTGGAAGAAGAGGACACTATGCTAGGATGTGTAAAACACGGAACTCCCGTACCATCTGTGCTGTCTCCTCCATACCAACGCGCTCAGTCGAAACACAGACTGAGGAAACATGCACTGTCCAAAGGAAATCGAAAAGAAAGCAGATTAGAGACAGAGAAAGAATCATCAAATTTCGCAGAAACCGTAAAGAAAATTCCATTTTGAGTGAAATGCCATTTTCATCTGTCAGTGTTATTGAAATTCATGGTGAAACTTTGGAGACCCAAGTTAAAAAGTTCAGGGACCAGGCAGCATCCAACAAATCCGACGCCAGCACTATCAGAACAAATGGTTGCGTGAGCGGCAAGTGTCTCTAAAGCAGTTCTTAGAAAAAGACAAGACTATCAAAGAACTCCAGGAAAAACTCTCAGCTGTAGAAAAAGACCTCGAGGAATCGAAAAAGGTGATAAATGACTATCAGATTGACACCAAAAAGACACAAGAGGAGATAAATTCACTCCGCAAATATAAAGAGTTTCATTCCTCGAGGAAAGCCATCTACAGTGGACCACCCCGTGGAGCCAGGAAGCAGTATCCACGGACTTCCAATACTGTAAGAAGTATGCCTGACAACACTAGTTCTTCATGGAAACACGAGGACGTGTTTATTTCAAAGGGGTACTGTGACCGTGTAAAATGAACATATTTTTGAGTAACAATAATTTCCTTTGATAGTGCTTAATATAATATAATTAGACCTTGACCGCAAGACATTTGATGCCACCTGTACCTGAGTTAAAGTTTTAATTATTATTCAATTATCTTAATTATGTCAATTATATCATTTTGCTTAGAGTAACTCTTCATTGTAATTGTTTGCTTAATCATTGTTATAAATTGGTTGTTTAATACATGATCTTCAGTTGGAAACTGGACCTTGCACTGTCCACGCCGACATACCGATCGTGTAGTAAATACCAAGTTTGGATCGTTAATAAAATATTAAACGAAGTACCGACTTGTGTATTTCTACCGGTTATAGTAATATGCAACTCTCCATTACTGAAAAATAATGAGCGCTAAAACAAAAGAGTGACGTCACAGGTGGATTTTAATTTTTACTCGTGACTGGTCAAAGGTTCGAGCCATAATGTTGACTTCCTTTAGCATTCGGTCATAAATATGACATGGTACATATGGGAATTCCGACAAATTGTTGGAAGAACTGATTTCGAAAAACTATACACAGATATTGTTAATCAGAAACTCTAACACCTTACGATATCAACTTTTAAGTACTTGTGCGAACAATCAGAATGATTTCGACAAAATCGTTTTGTAAATGATAAGTGACAAGGTATGGTTCTAATAGCAAAACCCATGAATTGCTCTGGGAGGCCCATTCTTATTACATCCTCCTATTTTACTTTCCGATCTGACACTTATTTCGGGTCTCCCAGTGCAAACATGAACTTTGCCATTCCATATGGGAGGCGGAGTATGATCGGGTTTTTGGTGACCTCATTGCTCATAATACCTCTGGTTACTTCTGTACATAAAAGGTTGTGCGAGCTATACCTATTTTACTTTTATGTGTATTTGAGAGTACTACACTCCTGTTATCAACATAGAAGTTTCGTTCAACATTTCTGTGGGATTTAAAAACTATAGTGGGAGGTTTTATTCCCTGAAAATGACAGTTATATTTAGATATTAGATAACCAACCTCTTTTTAAAAAATGAAGACAGAAAGAGGGTGTATAAGGCGTGTACAATCCCCAGCTCTGAGACAAAATGTTTCTAAATTTTCAAAATTCACAGAAAAGTTATATTTTTCTAAAATCATGTTCTCGGTAATGTCCTCTTCAAAACATTTCATTATTTTATTTTACTGAACGACTTATCATTTGATAATTTTTATTTCAAAGTTGACAGTTAAGCATATTTAGTGGAAAATGGGTTTAATAGAGCTATAAAAACGAATTTTGAACATGAATGGGTCAAGTCTCCATTCTTCTTGAACGCTTAAATGATGGAAACGTAAATGTGAAATCTATTTCATTTGTCCAAAAAATGGAATCTGAACCCATTCTATATGAAAATCGAACTTTTCTGAAAAAAAATTACGCTTCAACAAACCCGTTCATTTAAATCACACTGAAAGACGACAGTATGCATATATATATGGCACGCCAAATTCACAAAAATGAGCAAAACATAGGGCGAATTTGTTGCACATAAAGAGTTCGGGTTTTGGTTTAAGGTTTAAAACGAGTTTCAAACTGGTTTAAATTTCAATCCGGTTTACCTCGTTAAACAAATGAACAGTTTATACAAGATGGCGTCAAGATGATGCAGAACAACATACATGTATTAACCATATTACACATGCAAATAAATTTGTTAAAATCTTTTTCTTAATAAAAGAATCCAAGAAATTATAACGTATTTATATTCTTTGATTATCTTACATATAGTTAACGTGCAGTATTTATATGTTTAATGCCTCAAAGATTTACATATAACAATGAACAATTTCCACATTTTTTACACATGGAAAGATAAACACTCGAGTATCAATAATTACTCTTTAGATTTCCAATATTTAAACTGTCTTTACAGTATGTTCTACAATTTACCATACATGTTGAAGTTTGTCCAAATGATTCAAAACTTATTTTTGAAAAGGAAAATTTAACATATTCTGTTCATTATTATTGAACAAACACCATTCATTTTCAATATGCAGCATTTATCTATTCTCTGAAGCCTTATATATAAAATATCAATTATCAGAATGTGGCATTTTAGTCAAAAGAGTTGTTTGTCCTCGAAAAAAGCAATTATTCATAACTTTTTTTTTATCAAAATAATCACCGTTTTTCATCACCGCCATATTGGAATACTTCCCGCTCTTTCGTAAACCGAATAAACCACCATCGGAGGTGGTTTGGTTGGTTTAACGAACTGGTTTCAGTTACTGCCAAAACAGATGGAAAACCGGTTCTGGGTTTATTCTAATTTAAAACCAGTTTGTGGAACAAATGAACAGTTTACAAAACTGGTTCAAAAGTAAACCCGTTTTTGAGAAACAAATTCGCCCCTAGTTTCACAGTCGATAAACTAGGTTTATCGGTTGTAAACTATAGTTTACGGACTGTAAACTATAGTTAACGACGTTAATCTATATTTTACATCTGTAAACTATAGTTAACGCGATAATCTATGTTTCACAACCGTAAACTATACTTAACACCGAAAACAATCATTTTCAATCGCAAAACATAGATATGGCACGCCAAATTCACAAAAATGAGATAATCATAGTTTCACAATTGATAAACTAGGTTTATCGACTGTAAACTATACTTTACAAACCGTAAACTATAGTTAACGATTCGTTAAGTATAGTTTTCATCTGTAAAACTATATTTAACGGTTGTTAACTATAGTTTACGAATGTTAATTTAAGTTTATCTGTCTGTAATAAAGCGTTAAAAATAGATTTTGTTGATAAACATAGATTCACGTTTGTAAACTATAGTTTACAATCGTAAACTATAGTTAAGAGTTGTTAATCATAGTTTCACAAATTGTGAAACTATATTTATCAGATCGTTAACTATAGTTTACGGTTTGTAAACTATAGTTTACAAATCGTGAAACTGTATTTATCAGATAATCTATGTTTTGCAATCGCAAATGACTGTTTTCGATGTTAAGTATAGTTTACGGTTGTGAAACATAGATTATCGCGTTAACTATGGTTTACAGATGTGAAATATAGATTAACGTTGTTAACTATAGTTTACGGTTTGTAAACTATAGTTTACAACCGATAAACCTAGTTTATCGATTGTGAAACTATGATTATCTCATTTTTGTGAATTTGCCGTGCCATACATAGATTATCTGATAAATACAGTTTCAAGATTGTAAACTATGGTTTACAAATCTTAACTATAGTTAACGATCGTACATTATAGTTTACAGACGTGAATCTATGTTTATCAACAAAATCTATTGTTAATGTTTTATTACAGACAGATAAACTTAGATTAGCATTCGTAAACTATAGTTAACAACCGTTAAATAAAGTTTCACATATGAAAACTATACTTAACGAATTGTAAACTATAGTTCACGGTTTGTAAACTATAGTTTACATTCGATAAACCTAGTTTATCAATTGTAAAACTATGTTTAGCATGCCAAATTCACAAAAATGAGCTAATCATAGTTTCACAGTCGATAAACTAGGTTTATCGGTTGTAAACTATAGTTTACGGACTCTTAACTATAGTTCACGATATTAGTCTATATTTTACATTTGTAAACCATAGTTAACGCGATAATCTATGTTTCAGAACCGTAAACTATACTTAACACCAAAAACAATCATTTGTATGGCATGCCAAATTCACAAAAATGAGCCAAACCTAGTTTCACAATTGATAAACTAGGTTTATCGTTTGTAAACTATAGTTTACAAACCGTAAACTATAGTTAACGATTCGTTAAGTATAGTTTTCATCTGTGAAACTATATTTAACGGTTGTTAACTATAATTTACGAATGCTAATCTAAGTTTATCTGTCTGTAATAAACGTTAACAATAGATTTTGTTGATAAACATAGATTCACGTTTGTAAACTATAGTTTACAATCGTAAACTATAGTTAAGAGTTGTTAATCATAGTTTCACAAATCGTGAAACTATATTTATCAGATCGTTAACTATAGTTAACGGTTTGTAAACTATAGTTTACAAACAGTGAAATTGTATTTATCAGTTAATCTATGTTTTGCAATCGTAAATGATTGTTTTCGATGTTAAGTATAGTTTCGGTTGTGAAACATAGATTATCGCGTTAACTATGGTTTACAGATGTAAAATATAGATTAACGTTGTTAACTATAGTTTACAGTCCGTAAATTATAGTTTACAACCGATAAACCTAGTTTATCGACTGTGAAACTATGTTTTGCAAATTTTTTGTGAATTTGGCGTGCCATACATTTGCGATCGCAAAACATAGATTATCTGATAAATACAGTTTCACGATTTGTAAACTATGGTTTACAACTCTTAACTATAGTTAACGATCGTAAATTATAGTCTACAGACGTGAATCTATGTTTATCAACAAAATCTATTGTTAAAGTTTTATTACAGACAGATAAACTTAGATTATCATTCGTAAACAATAGTTAACAACCGTTAAATATAGTTTTACAGATGAAACTATACTTAACGAATCGTTAACTATTTAATTTAAACAATATTTTATTCACAGATGTTATTGTGAATAGGATTGGGCAGCAGGCGCAGCCTATTTTAGCCCTCTCCCTACATTTAGGTCAAGGTACAAAACAAATAGTGATAATAAAAGAATGTACAAAAGAAGAGAGAAAAAATACAAACAAAAGTGAACAAAGTAACATAGAAAAAAAACAGAAAAAGTCATATATAGAAAATTAAACAAAAGAGAAAAATAGAATGAACAAAATAACAAAAAGGGCAAATTACAGGGGGAGACAAAATACAAAGTAGTACCGGTTTGGGAGTACTAAATTATATCTATATATAGATATGACAGTGTTTATATAAAACGTTTTGTTGCTGCTATAAATGTATGTACAGCTTCAAATATTTGTATATTAATGTCAAGTCCATGGTTAGAACTACCATTTAAAAATAAATCACATTCAGGAATATTATCACAGTTTATAATATTATGTGTTGATTGAAAGAGTACATCTCTTGGAATTGTATATTTTGGACAGACAATAAAGTAATGATAGGCATTTTCAATACAATCAGTACAATGTTCACACATTGGAGTTTCAGCTAAATGTTGATTATATAAATCTGCTTTCAGATTACTAGCATTATTCCTTATCTGGCAATGTATTATATTATACTTTCTTATTCCAAAATTAAAAAGTTCAATACTTTTCCTACAGAAATGAGATTTTAAAAGACTTTTGAATGAACATATTCCTGGAGCATTTTTAATATAATCTGGCAAGGTATTCCATTGTTTGACTGTAAGGGGAGAAAACTTTCCATATAAGATGTTGTTCTAATATTAGGAATTTTGAATTGAGCATTATTAGTTCTAAGATTATACGAATGACTTGATGGGCGATAAGGTTCAATCAGATCATACAGATACTGTGGAGAATAACCATTAATAATTTTATAAAATAATATTAACTTATGAATTTTTCTCCTTGTTTTTAGGAGATCCCATCCAAGTTCATCATACAATTTTGTACGAGAAGAGTTACACCTTAATCCAGTTATAATTTACGGTTTGTAAACTATAGTTACATTCGATAAACCTAGTTTATCAATTGTGAAACTAGGTTTAGCTAATTTTTGTGAATTTGGCGTGCCATATACTTCGAAGCGCAGTGGTTAAAGTGGATGATCTAATAAAAGAGAGAGAGAAAAAAAGCGGATGCTCTTGGACCAAACCTGCGCTATGGAAAGAGTTCGAATCATACGTGAAGATTTTTCTTTTTTGTTTTCAAATGTCCTAAAAACATGAGTGAAAAATAAATTATTAATAAATTATTTAAACAATGAAATAGAGAATTTGATGTGTAAAAGATGATATAAACCATAAAATTTGGAAAAAATACTACTTTTAGAATTGAGAAATGTCTTTTTTCAGAGCGGGGGATGGCCCTCGTCTTGTACTCCTCCATTCTTTATTTTGTTTTTATTAATATAATAAAATTCTATAGAATGCAACAGAAATGTAAGCATAACTTGGCACTTACAAATAAAGTGTGTTCATACTACAGAAGCATGATAAAACTGCTGCCTTGTTCCTAGTATTTTTGAGGAAAAAAATGGTCTCTTCAGATATTATCAATCTTCTAGTCCCTATTGTGGCTAAAACATGGCTCTGATGGAGACAAAAGAACCATGCCTTGAGTAAAAACCACTGCTCTCTGTCATGTTTGTTTGTTTTTTTTTCGGTCTACCTCTTTATGGACCTGAGTCCCATCTATTTCAAGTATCTCAGGGAAAAAAAACACAACATTTTTTGATTTTATGATTTATTTCCTTCATATCTACATAAGGACAACATCTGTAGCAGGTCTTGATGAAGTTCTTGATACAATCTTCACAGCAAGGATACTGTCGACATTGTTGGCACTTCCAGCTCCCCTCCATATTTTCCTGCCAGCAGGTCAGACATTTCTTTAAAGGTCTCTTCCTGGTCACTTTTACCCATAGGGGCACCATATTTTCTGCCCCGTACTTCCATGTGAAATATTTCATGCACCAGCTACATCCACAGGTCTCCGTGGAAGGGATATCATCCACAAGCCAGTGAGGAAATGGCATTTCACAATGCTCACAAATTTGATAAGTTCTGTGATGCCATCCAGGATAGTCATACACCGTAAATGTACAGTCATGGAAATTCTCCATATCACAGTAATGACATGTTCTTTTCTTGGTCAAATTAAAACATCATTCTCTACATGCATGACTTGAGTCTTTTAATGTAGGAACTCTTACATGTGAATGTAAAGGGATTTATTTCACTAAAAAATAATCTGAATCAATGAGATCAAATAATTGGTTTAATAAAATTCACAACTTGAAAAGGCTTTTCACTGCTATAAATACAATTTCATTTCTACATGACTGTATATACTAGTATATAAATACAAATGAATTTATAAAGCTATCTATTTGGAGGTAATGGACATTTATAAACTTCAAAGTTATGATTTAAATCTTTTTCAGTATGAATCTTAAATCTTGATCCAAGTCCTCCGTCCTCATGAGAATGAATATAAAACACTCGACCAATCCTTGAATGCACTAATGCCATAGCACACATGACACAAGGTTCCGTGGTTGTGTAAAGGTCAAATCCAGTACATAGATACTGCATGTCACTCTTGGCTTGCACATTATGAACCTCACTGATTTTTCCTAATGAATTTCCAGGCATTCCTCCACAAGCATCCTGCTGTTGTGTAGTTGTAGAGAACTGGTCTTCTGAACTATTTTCCGAGTTGATGTTTTTTTCAATGTTCCACATTCCTCCGCCTTGGTTGCGAGCAACTTCATCAATACACAACATAACATCATGATGTAAAGGGTGACCCAGATGTCTTCTGTCACAAGTCTTTGCCAGGACTTTGTCATCTGTGGGATTAACGATCAGTGAGGCACTCAATGACCCTTCTCTCTCCTTCTGTTGAATCACCTCCTGTATGTGTTTTTCTATTTTATTTAGTTCATCTGTTGTAAAGTAAGACAAAGTTAAAAGTTTTGTCACTTTTTTATCCTCATGAAAAGAAACTGGCCAGTAGAGTTTTGATTCTTCGTATTGCTTTCTTGTCAGTGGCTTTAGTTTGGGCACTTTGATCAGAAATGGTTTTCCTAAGCAGTTGTATTTTGCTTCAGATAGAACTTTTTCTATGTTTGAGTTTTCTCGGTCATGGCACACAATCACCTGCAAAGGACCATCTTTGCCATTACAAGACCTTACTCTTTTCAGATGTTGTAGGCCCTCCAGTGGAAAATCTTCACATAAAGCCTTCACCACTGAAACCGTTTCCCTCTTGTTTTGAATCACAGATGCGTAAATATCAGTTAATTCTACATCTTTTGTAAAACGACAGTCTAGAATGGCTATTGGATGACGATGTGAGATTGACATGCTAAAATCAACAGGACAGAGTCGGTAATTAATGAATAATTTGCTCTTCGGTCAACTCAAGTCAAAATCAGCACAGGATATCGAATGCAAAAAAGTAAAGCAAAATAAAGAAATAAACAATTTATTTCCGGAATCATGTCATCGAAACAAGTTAATTTAAGTGGTCATTACGAATAAAAAGTTAAATTGAATTAATTACACATAGATGTATTGGTATTTAATACTAAATTTTTTTAACGATGTATAAATAAAATAAAAGCAATCAAAGAAAACATTAAACATCGGAATCGTGATTCAGACATATGGCCTTCACCTTTTGTCGTCAAGAAACAAGACCAAAAAAGAAGATGTGATAAAAAGACATAAAAAGGATCGATATGGAGTCTTAAAAATATTTATAATCTTGATAAAGCAAGTGTATCCCCATGCTAAGGTAACTTGCGTAGTTGTCAAAGGAGTTAAAATTATTTGTAGTCAAAACTCGCAAAGAACAGGGTAGATTACTCGATAGGCCTATGCAGTATATTTTACCTCAAACACAGCATTGATGAACGCAGATCATCACTTTTGCCTTTGTAAATGGAGTAAATAAATGAAACTAAAATGTTTAATTAATTAGATTTTGGCTCATTTAATGTAAATGTGTGATTTCAAGCTATTTACATCATACTCTGAATCATCAGGTTGGGCACAGTTCCTTTTTCGGGGAAGTATTACTATAAAAGGGAACTATTATGCATTTCAGTAATAAAAAACATTACTGAAATTGGGAATTTTCACTCATTTATCCTCTATTGTCATGTTTGTTAGGTCACCTGAGTAAACTCAGGTGACCTATTGCTATCCGTTTTCGTCCGTCGTCGTCCGTCGTCCGTCGTGTGTCGTGTGTTGTGTGTCGTGTGTCGTGTGTTAACATTTGAACATTTTCAGCTTCTTCTCTGCAACCACTGAACCAATTTCAAAAATTTGGCACAAAGCATCTATGGGTGAAGGGGAACAAAAATTGTGAATTTCATGATCCCTGCCCCCCTGGGGCCTGAGGGGTGGGGCCAAAACCACTAAAATTAATGCAATCTTTAAAAATCTTCTTCTTTACTCCTGGACATCAAGCAGTCAAATTATTTGCATGATTGTAATCAGCATTGAGTCCTCTACCAAAATTGTGAAATTCATGGCCCTGGGGTCAGGGGTTCTAGTGCTAGGGCGGGGCTAAATAAGTATATAGTGAAAATGCATTATTTCTTTGAAAATCTTCTTCTCTGCTCCTGGGTATTAAATAAACCAACTAAGTACACAGTTATGATGAGCAAGAGTGCCTCTACCAATTTTGTGAATTTTATGGCCCCAGGGTCAGGGGTTCTGGTGTTAGGGTGGGGCTCTATTGATTATATAGTAAAAATACATGATTTCTTTGAAAATCTTCTTCTCTGCCCCTGGGTATTAAATAAACCAAGTAAGTAAATAGTTATGATGAGCAAGAGTGCCTCTACCAAAATTTTGAATTTTATGGCCCCAGGGTCAAGAGTTCAGGTGTTGGGGGGGGGGGCTCTATTGATTATTTAGTGAAATTACATGAATTCTTTGAAAATCTTCTTCTCTGCTTCTAGGTATTAAATAAACTAACTAAGTGCATAGTTATGATCGGCAGGAGTGCCTCTACAAAAATTGTGAATTTTATGGCCCCAGCATCAATTGTTCTGGGGGGGACTTTATTGTTTATAAAGTGAAAATACATGAATTCTTTGAAAATCTTCTTCTCTGCTCCTAGGTATTAAATAAACTAACTAAGTACATAGTTAATAAGCAAGTGTTCCTCAACCAAGATTGTGAATTTTATGGCCCCAGGGTCAAGGGTTCTGGTGTGGGGGGAGGGGGGGTGCTCTATTGATTATAGTGAAAATATGTGAATTCCTTGAAAATCTTCTTCTCTGCTCTTAGGTATTATATAAACTAACTAAGTGCATAGTTATGATAAGCAAGTGTGCCTCAACCAAAATTGTGAATTTAATGGCCCTATCATCAAGGGTTCTGGTGTTGGGGGGAGGGCTCTATTGATTATATAGTAAAATTACATGAATTCTTTGAAAATCTCCTTCTCTGCTCCTAGGTATTAAATAAATTAACTAAGTGCATAGTGATGATGAGCAAGAGTGCCTCAACCAAAATTGAGAATTTTATGGCCCCAGGTACAAGGGTTCTGGTGTTGGGGGGGGGGGGGGGGGTCTATTGATCATATGGTGAAAATACATGAATTCTTTGAAAATCTCCTTCTCTGCTCCTAGGTATTAAATAAACTAAGTGCATAGTTATGATGAGCAAGAGTGCCTCTACAAAAATTGTGAATTTTATGGCCCCAGCGTCAATGGTTCTGAGGGGGGGGGGGCTTTATTGATTATAAAGTGAAAATACATGAATTCTTTGAAAATCTTCTTCTCTGCTCCTAGGTATTAAATAAACTAAGTAAGTGCATAGTTATGATGAGCAAGAATGCCTCTTCTAAAATTATGAATTTCAATGCCCCAGGGTCTGGGGTTCTGGTGTTAGGGTGGGGCTCTATTGATTATATAGTGAAAATACATTAAATCTTTGAAAATTTTCTTCTCTGTCTCTGGGTATGAAGCAGATGAACTACCTATATAGTTATGATGAGCAAGGACCCTAATCTTGCAGAATTATGAATTTCAAGGCCCCAGGGTCACGGGGTGGGGGGGGGGCTCTACTTATATACTGAAAATGAATTAATTGTTTGAAATCTGGTCCTTAATTGTATTTAGAAAACATTTATTTACTTTTTGATAGGCAATTTTAAGGGTGCCTTTTAAAAATTTGTGCAACATAGGGTCAGGGGTTTATGTCAGAGTGTTAGGGGCACTACTGATTATTGATGAATATTACTGATTAGTTGGAGTGCATTTTTGTTCCCCTATGCGTATGGGTATTCAGTAACCAAGCTAAGCAACTGCTAAGTTTATTGTTATGATGATCAATGGTGCCCTTACAAAATTGTGAATGCCATATAGCATCTGGCTTAAAACATGAATCAAATTCAATACACTGTAACTGGAAAGTTGTTGCATAATGCTCAGGTGACCTATAAGGCCCGTGGGCCTCTTGTTTTGAATATAAGATAAAGTGCAAGAACATTTTGACATCCTCTAAATATTTATTGTCTATTAAGTGTATGTGTGCTCAAAACTGCAATATTTATTGCTGCTAAAAGCTGAAAAAGAGTTATCCAATATTTCTATGATATAGATTTCTTATGGAAGCTTACCTGTGTTAAAATTGTGATAAGGGATACGTTCAGCACTTGCTAAGTTGTTCATGAGATTATTCGTTCTAATTTAATTATTAGATTCCATACTTTTAGTACCATTCATCAACAGGGAAAATGATTAAATCTCATTTTACTCTTTTCTGCAGCACTGAAGGACCAAATTTTTCGGTCAGCAAGGTTTGTTTGACAAAGATTAAACACGTCACATCGTATCTTTAATGCACTTTTTATTTGATAAATGGATTAGAGCCATTATTTAAAAATTGTGACAAAAATTACGGAATTGAGTAATGTTTTTATTACTGAAAAGAGTAATAGTTCCCTTTTATAGTAATACTTCCCTGAAAAAGGAACTGTGCCCAACCTGTTCATTACAGTACATTTAGGTGAGTATAAAATCGAAATATGTCACTGCATCATTCAGAGTAAGATTTTCTATCTATCCATGAAAAAATGCTAATTAAAAAATAATTCAGGAAGGTGGTTCAAGTTATGGGGTAGACCTTGCTTTACCAGTTCCCAGATCTGCAAGATTCACATGTTCAATGCACTATGACGCAAGATTTATGTCGCTCAACCTATGTGGGTTAATATTGCACATTTTTCAACTGATAAGGGTTAGTTTTTTATCTACCTGAAAGATTAGGGTTAGTCTTTGAACAATTTTTTGACTGATTAGGGTTAGTCTTGCATCTGTCCAACAGATAAAGGCTAGTTTCCACTCATCTGAGACTCATAGGTGCTTGGTTTCAGGACCGACCAGGAGGGTGTATTTTTTGTTGTGTTTTAACATACTTTTTAATATAAAAATAAAAAAATAGCTGAAATTAGCACATAATGTTATCAGAGTAAAAACATGACAATATCATTGCTATTTCAGGGGGAACCTCATTTCACACTTGATTTTTATTTACATGTATATCTAATTTTTCCATACTGGTATTGGTAAACAGGTACAAGTCAAACGGCACCTAGCAAACCTAGAAAAACCCACATTACACAAAAAACACCCTCCTTAAACCAAGCACTTTGGATTTACGTATATACATGTAGTACTTGTAATATGCTCAATAATGCAAAGAAACTTTTTTGGATACTTAAAAATTCCTTACAATTTTTTAAAAGCAGGGCTTGTGAAGTGAGCAGAGGATGACTAAGAACCACTTTGCGGTGCTAGGATTAAAGGCGGGGGCCACAGAGGAGGAGATCAGGAAGTCCTACAAATCCCTGGCCATAAAGTTCCACCCCGACAAAAACAAGGATGCCGGGGCCGAGGAAAAGTTCAAAGAGATCGCCGCAGCTTACGAGTATCTAAAGAGTCAAGACAGGTGGGATTTTATACAGTAGATAAATCATAAAGAATTGCAATTCAGAGACTGTTATTGATCCATGGAGAAAAGACACAAGTGATTCAGTGATTTTTTTTATTGAAAATTATTTATTGAAGTTTTATTATTAAAAATAGAAATTAAGATTCTACAGAAAGCATTCTTGATAATGATATAGGAAAATACCCCATTACTGTATTGATATACAACAATTTTCCTAAACTAAGGGTTATGTGCTGCTAACATACATTTGATTTTTTGAAGTAAACATTCCTTTGAGAACTCTGAACTATACAGGGGTTATTTTGGATTACAGAAGAGAGATCTTGGAGAGAGATTTAAACAGGCCAAAAGAACAGAAAACTACTAAGGTTCCTCCAAATTTCACTTACTACAGCTCCAAAGAAAACAAATCTGATAAAGACGACTCGGCATATTCCAGTAAATACAAGGGAACAAGCTTCAAAACGAGGTTTGACTTCAAAGAACCGCACGACTTTTCCTGGTAATCATGACTTACTTTTGTTTTCTATATCATTTTGTAAATGATTTCATGCAATAGTTTGATTTTACAAATAAATAAATAAGATAAGCAAAGGTGCAGCTAAATCACAAAATATGCAATATATTCCAGAATTTTATTCACATATTTAAAAAAAAATGTATAATAGAGATTGATGCTTTTTTCTTTGTTTTTATTTATGTGTGAATCATTGTGGTTCAGGTCTCATACTGACACAAAGGAAACAAAAGGGAAGAAGAAGAAGGCGACCCAGAAAGCTCGACGGAAGCCGTGGAGTCAGGAATGGAACGAGCCCGACGAAGATTTTGTTCCTGGTTATTATTGTTTTCTTGTTTTAAGTTACAATATGTAATCTAAGGAATTATTACTTATAAAGTATACTAGAATAGCATCTCTAACCTATCTTTATTTTATGTGATGCAGCAAATATCTACATACGAAATGCATACACTACAGATTAAAGAAGGCCAAAGGAAGACACCTTTTGATTTTTTAGATCATTGAGTCATTGACAAGATTATTTGTATTTCCTTTATCATTCATGTTAAACAGTATCTTGTATTTCTCAAATAAAAAGTTTCATTTTATTCTCTATGGAGTATTCTGGACTCTTCAAGTTTGTATCTCTTTAGCTGTCAGAAAGCTCTATTCTAACCTATTACATGTTGTAACCAATAATTTACACACAGAGGACATACTATTCCTAATTCTGACTTGCAAATATTTTGTTCTTTTTTTAGGCTTTGGTGATGAGAGCAGGTCCTTTTCGTTTGCCTTTAAGACGTTTGTGGATGATCTGGACTCTCATTTTTCCATGTTTTTCAAAGCCTCCGCTCCGTTCGAGTTTTCTGCTTTCTATGGCAATAAAGAAGATCCATTTGCTCAGTTCTTCTCAAGTAAGTTTAGTAATAAAGTCTGCTTTACACAGTAATTCATAACATTTTGTGGTTTAATGAATCAGGAATTATTAATGAACTTCTAGTATTTAACAAGGAAGAAAACAGTATCAAAGGCTGAAGAATTGACTTCAGTAATGATATAAAAAATATGTTGTTATAAAATTATGTGTGAGAATTCAACCTGCCCAGCTCACCTAAACTTTCCATTTATTCTGTAGGTTCAGGAGAAGCAGGTGAATTTTCTAAGAAGAGAGAGAAGGAGAGGAAGAGAGACGTGGCAGATGAGTATGGATTTAACGAGGATCTGAATGAAGAATTCCTGTTTTCTCCTCGACAAGGGAAGTCTCGGATGTACAACCATTTCTCGGACTCCGATGATGAACCAGCATTCAGGTTCAGCATGTCTGAGTCAGAGTCTGATCCAGGTAATAAAAATCAATACTTAGTCCCAAGTCAAAAATAACTGTACTTAATAGTTTACACCCTGAGACATTGTTTATCAATTAGGAAATAACTATCTTCTAATTTGGTATTTGTGACTGTTAATGCTGATTTAATGGTCGCAAACTGAGTTTTACCGGTGACGAGTAAGCGGAGCCTATAAAACGGATGTTTGTGACTGATGGTTGCATATACCAAATTAGAAGATCAGTTATTCCCATTCTAATGCAATCCATGCATTTTGTTTGTTGTTTACGTCATATTTTGTTGAGAGTCGCTATATAAAATATGTCACGGAACATTGTGTTTTTGCATCGCTCTATTATAACGTCACAATGAAAAGCTTCACTCACGTTAATGCTCGTTTTACTGCCTCAAACATCAGTGCATTAGCCAATCAAAAGGTGTTTTACAAAGTAATTGCATTAGAATGTCATTCGAAGTGCTTTTTCAATATGAAAATTTGGTCAGCCAAGAAGAGCTATGTACCATGGTAAAATGAGTTTGCTGCTGTAATAAGTGATTGTTTAGAAGTTCTCATTTTACTTCTACCATAAGTGTAAAATTTGGAGCTTGAGTTTAAAATATTGTTATTTTGAGAAAAACAAGGGAAAAACATTTGTGGTAAAAAATTCAGGATTTGGCTTTTATCGTTTTTATGGTAAGGTCTTATATATTTAGCATGGAAAGCTTGTGACATTGTGCTGTGTCAAATTTTTGTTTTCAATTTGAACAAAATTTTGAATTTTTTTCTTTACTTCTAGGAAACTGTTCTACAAGTTAATGATATTTATTTGGAAAAAAAAAAAGATAAATTAGTAACTTCTGAAGTGAATTTGCCTGGCATGTAAGGCCATCTTGTCATGAGAATATTTAGTTCGTGTCATCTGGTAATATTTCACGAAAAATTAAGAGATCTCTGGTTGATGTGTTTGCATGAATTTTGCATTTCTAATCAAAATTAAGTTTACTGGTATACTAATTCAACTTACCGGTATTTCAGGCTCAGCTCTCTATATTATTAGTCAACATTGTTCATGATCCTTATGCATGTATTAATGCAGATGTATTGAAGAAAATGTTAGAATGAATCTATATGAAGTAACCATGCTTCATTGCAGTATATATTAAATATGCATGTTGATACGGAAGGAGTGCTATAAGTTGACTGTGATAAAAAAAACATGTAGTTTCAGTACAGACAGAAATTCTGATACATGTACTACATTGTATTTGTGCAGATGATTATGAAGAAACCCGATTTAAGTGCTCTTTCTGTGGGAAAATGTTAAAAATAGAAGCTCTGGTAAGTTTAACCTCTTTAATAAGATAGAATTTTAATAATGACTTGCTTGTAACTGAAAGTGAGAGGAGAATCAATACTAGTTAACTTGTATACAGGCATGTATATCAGTTCACAAAATTTAATTATACCTTTACAGAAAACAATTATAACTGTCTCTGTAACTTTGAAGTTAATGCATGAAATAAACATTTGATTGAAAGATTCTGTAACTATGATGACCATTTCAGTTGACCTTAAAGTAACAGATTTTCAATACTTTATAGAAGACTCATGAACCTGCCTGTGGTCGGCGCCAGAAGAAAGAAGTGAACATTGACAGCGATGATGAGTATTTTGACCACAATGGGTATTCCTCTAAGTACGGCCCCTCCAGTATCCCCGGGGACTGGCGGGGGACCCACGAGGAGCTTCTGAGACACATCCGGAGACAGCGCAGGGCCGCCAAGGCCAAGAAACGCGAGGAGGAGTTAAAGAGTGATCTAGGTAATTACTGCTTAATTTACTGCTCATTCATTTAATGTTTTCAAAAAATTATAAAATTGGCTTAAATATTGAATATATGAATTTTATAAACAAGAAGGAATACATCTTCGCTAGCCAAGTGTCTGATTCGTTTCTGAATCGGACACTTGGCTAGCGAAGATGGAAGGAATATGGCATGAAGGAGGATCATTCTATAACTATGACATCATTAACTTGATACAGTTTTCAGTTTTGAACAGAAAAAGCCTCAAAATCACTTGTTTCAGGTGTTATTTTTCTTTAGAAAACAGTGCCCACAGTTGTTGACCAATTCAATTTCCAGATATGTTGTGTAAAATTGTTTTTAAAAGATTATATTTCACAAAATTTTTATTGGCAATGCATGTGCACTATATTATCTGTGGTCTCTTTATCTAGCATGAATTCTCAGCATTGGAGAAAATAAGTGATCCTTAAAATGAAAAATTTTAAAAATAAGAACAGATCTTCTTAACAAACTAAGCCTTTGTTGGTTGATTTGGTTTCAGAGACTGTGGTGTGTAGCTGGTGTGGGAGGTCATTCAGTAGGAAGGCCGCGGAGCGTCACGTCCCGTTCTGTGAAAAGTGGACAAAGGACCATGGTCGCCCCCAGAGTCCAACATTTATGTACCACACAAAAAGCAAGGCAGACAGGGCCAAAGAGGTGGGGACAGTACACATATTAAAAAAAAATACAGTATATGTCCTAGCTGTACAGTGTTCCATCTTTGCAGTTTATTGAAACTTGATGTAAATAGGACAATTTCATTGATCACTTCAAATTGTCAAGGAGTTTCTATGATTGTTTTCACTAAATGGGGATAGTAGGATGGCAGTCTTGTAGTTTTATATTACAGATTTCAGTAAATGGAGATGGTCAGTAGTAGACTCTTGTAATGTTCATACAATAAAACTAAGTTAACATCAACAGTGCAAAGTTACTGATATACTGGTAGCAAAGATGTTTTAGTGTCTTTTGCAACATTTGCTGATTTGATGTAAAATTTGACACTTTAAATGAAGCAAAGATATACATGTAAATTACTCTAGTCAATCTGCAACTTTCAGAGTATAACCAATTTTAATTTGAGGGCTGCAGTCTTATTAGATATTTGTTATTGAGCAGTTTTCAATTCCTATGGATGTTTTTAAACAATGTAGCATTGAAAGGGATATAGCTAAATTTATTAGGATATTTTACAGACAAACATGTGAATATTGAGCTTGCATTATGATATTAAGCAAAATTTAATTATGTCCAGGGTATGAAATAATTTTGATTGATTTCTTAACAGTACTCAAAGAAAGTCCCCAAACCCAAAAGACATCGAACTCCCCACGAGGAGAAAGACTCTCCCCCTACAACACACAGAAGTAGGAGTCGACCCACCAGCTACCCCGATCACAAGGACCCCCAACCAAAACAGAAAGGTTAGAATCTAAAGCTTACTACAAGGGCTGAAAAATAGCAGGGATCAACACTAACAGTTGTCCAATCGCCCAGGACAAGTAAATTCTCAGTTCGGGGAAGTGAAACTGTCGATGTACTTGTCTGATCGGGCAAGTGGATATTTCTGATAGAATCACTTTTTTTAATCTTGCATTAGTTTATAAACAACACAATAATTTGAAACAGCACATTGTTTTTGCATTAGGAATCCCTTCATAGCGTTTCTGGATCATACCTTAATTCATTCAAAAAAAGGTTCGTTATTCTGTTTTCTTTCTTAGTTTACAAAATTATGCTTTCCGTCTGACAACTTAAGTTACATTCATATTATGAAATAGATATTATAGAACAGGTTATTTATTCTCTTAAAGAATATAAAGAGCACCAGTTATTCTCGGTGGTGAGTCGGTGCATGATGTATCTTGATTCAAAACATGGCAACTTGTTTTCCGTTAAGCCCAACCTAAATTTTTTAGGGAAAAATATTTTAAAATTTAAAAAAAGAAATTGGAAGAAAATAATATTCCTGCAGGATAATAAATGACAGGAAAGTGGTTTACATATATTTACAAATTGTAGCATCTGCCAACACTGCCATATCAACATTTCCCGGGCAATTAAGTTCAAAATAGAAATTAATTTATAACTGTTTAATATTTACAACAACAAATTAAGATACAGTTACTGAATTTTCTCCTTTAAAAATTTTGGGCTACCAAGTTTTACCTTTGGACAATTCAAAATTGTAGTTCACTATAAAAGTTACATGGTCAAAATTCACTTGCCCTACCTGAATTTTTGCTTGCCCTACCATAAACTAATACTGTATTTATAAATATTTCAAAAAAGCAGAAGACAAATGCTGAGTAGATCATGCAATCATGATAAAATTTCACATCCCCGTCCCCAAAATTCAGTAGATCCGGATGTAGGGCAATGGGATTTGTCATCCCCTTTTCTATGTGTGTGTTAAAACAAATGTGAAGGAAAAAATTATATTTACTTTGACAAAGAAGAAGAAATTGAAAAGGTGCCATGAATTTTTAGCTTTTAAAAGTAGATTATGTACTAGAATTTTGGAATTTAGTTTTTATATTGGAAACTTTTCTTCAATTCTCAAAAATATCTTTTTACTGGTAAGTGGTAATAAGGCTTTTATTAATAAAAGTTAAATGCCAAATTGGTTTCATCGTTGCAAACCATGGCCAAAATGTACAATCCTCTTCAGATCCTCTTGACACCAGACTGTGGCTTGAGACGATGAATTAGTTTATGAATATAAAATGTTTGGTGCATTTGTGGGAGTTTGCTCCCTTACATCAATTTTATCTTCCAGCTTTGCCTTTGTGAAATTTAAACAACACAGAGCTTTGCTAATTCCCTTCATAATAGCTTGTTTAAAACTTTATAGCATAAATGTAATGTAGTGATGTAAAAGTGCAAATGATAAGAAATATTTTTTTTTCATTTTTTTTTAAATAAAATTTTTATCAAATTCATTAATAGACAAGTGCTTTTATTTTGCTAGGGAAAAAGACTCTCTCTGTTGAAGAGTATATAGATAATTGTACATGTACTTCAGTGTCTTTTTGGTAAAAAATAACCAAGTTTTCTCTAATTTGTTTACAGAGAAACATTTCCCCACCTCCAGTACTGGGCTACACCCGGCCACTCCAAGGTCATCGTACACCCCCAAGTCAACCACCCACACTCCCAGAAATCACACCCCAAGATTCAAATCTGATGCTGAGTGAGTAGATGTTTCCTTCATATTTATACCCTTCTCCCCTGGAGAGGGGATATACTGTATTCCTCTTGTCTGTCCCTGACAAATTTTCAATTTAAGTTCTTTTTTTTGCAACTACTTTCCACAGATGCTTGATATTATATAGCAGACTCTTTATTTTTTCATCAAATTTTTCTCAGCAAATTACTCAAGGCAGATGCTTGAAATTTTAAGAATGTATAGTATTTCGTTAACTGAACTTGTGTGTATATATTCACAGGAAAGCATATATTCACATCAGAGTGGGGGTATTTTTGGTGAGGACTGGCTTACAAACTTCTAGGTTAACATGTACAGACTAGTTTAAATACCTCAGAAATTTGTCAGAGTAAAGGAAAATTGCAATCCTAAATTTATACCACAATCAATAGAGGATAGTACTGTTTTCCTGCATTTGTTTTCTTAAATTTTGAATGGTGAGTGTGATAATAACTACAGTTCTGTAGCTCGCTGGTCTGAAAAATTGGGATGGATGACCACAGAGCTACAGTGCCACCCATTGAAAATGGTGTATATTTATTATTATTACACACAAATAAAATTGCTGACTAATTAAAAGGATACCTCATTGGTAGGATTTATTTTAAAACAAATGTGTTTTGGGTTCAAAAGAGTATCACTGTTTTGTAATTGTCAATTGATCAAATCATTTGCAATTGACCTTTTGTCAAAATCATAGAATGTTTTAAATTGCCATGTACATGGCTGAGGTATATAGTACCTGTCATGGCAACATTCATCTTTCCATCAGCCTCATTCTCAGTGTTAAAAAAGTCCTTAACTTCATTAAAATTCCTACCTTGTTCACACTTATATTGTCAGGCAAAATTCCATTTTTCAGACTCATGATCTCTGACCCTTAACCTAATAACCTTTTTGATGGTTCCTTAATTGTCCAAGTTTTACATACCACATGCCTAATTTTCTTGTCACATGTTTTTAGCTCACCTGAGCCAAAGGCTCAAGTGAGCTTTTCTGATCAAAATTTGTCCGTTGTCTCTCGTCGTTGTCGTCATCGTTGTCGTCATCGTCGTTGTAAACTTTTCACATTTTCATCTTCTTCTCAAGAACCACTGGGCCAATTTCAACCAAACTTGCTACAAAGTATCCTTGGGTAAAGGGAATTCAAGTTTTTTCAGATAAAGGGCCATGCCCTTTTCCAAGGGGAGATAATTATGAATTAGAGAAAAATTAATGGCATTTTTAAAAATCTTCTCAAGAACTGCAGGGCCAGGAAAGATGAAACTCATGTGGAATCATCCTTAGGTATTGTAGATTCAATTTGTTCAAACCGTGATCCTCGGGGATAGGATGGGGCCAAAATGGCCAATCAAAGTTTTACATAGGAATATATCTATAGGAAAAATCTTGAAAAATCTTCTTCTCAAGAACCATTGAGACAGAAAAGATAAAACTCATGTGAAATCATCCTCAGGTATTGTAGATTCAAGTTTGTTCAAACCATGATCCCCGGGGGTAGGGAGGGGCCATAATGGCCGTTAAAAGTTTTACATAGGAATATATAGGAAAAATCTTTAAAAATCTTCTTCTCAAGAACCACTGGGCCAGGAAAAATGAAACTCATGTGGAATCATCCTCAGGTAGTGTAGATTCAAGTTTGTTCAAATCATAATCCCCTGGGGTAGGGTGTGGCCAAAATGGCCGATCAAATTTTTACATAGGAATATATAGGAAAAATCTTCTTCTCAAGAACCATTGAGACAGGAAAGATGAAACTCATGTGAAATCATCTTCAGGTAGTGTAGATTCAAGTTTGTTCAAATCATGACCCCCGGGACTAGGATGGGACCATAATGGCCGTTAAAAGTTTTACATAGAAATATATAGGAAAAATCTTTAAAAATCTTCTTCTCAAGAACCACTGGGCCAGGAAAGATGAAACTCATGTAGAATCATCCTGAGGTAGTGTAGTTTCAAATTTGTTCAAATCATGACCCCCGGGGCTAGGGTGTGGCCATAATGGTCGACCAAATTTTTATATAGGAATATATAGGGAAACCTTTTAATATCTTTTCAAGTACCGTTCTTCAAAGCCATGATTAGTGATATTTATATGGAATCATCTTCAGGTAGTGTAGATTCTAGTTTGTTCAAATCATGATCCCTGGGGGGTTAAAATTCAAGCCCCCCCCCCACCTCAGTAAACTTTCAGTTCTGATCTGATATGTGCTTTTTCTTAGCTGATGTTCTCAGGTGAGCGCTGTGGCCCCTGGGCCTCTTGTATTTCCAATATCTGTAAATATAGAACTATCCTGGAAGGATTCCTAAATTGTGACGTTTCTGTTCCAGGTCTAAGCAGGGCACCACCACGGGCGCGTACTTCGGAGTGTCCGGTTCTCAGTTTGGTGCCAAGAGTTCAAAGTATGGAGGCGGGCTTAAAGGTTCCTCAGTTCACGGAACCGGGGTCAAAGGGTCAAGTACCAAGGGGACAGGAATATACCATAAACCCACTCATGTTAAATTTGCTACATAAAGCCCACCATTTAACCAGCTATTTAAAGTGCTTCAGAATTTATTTCTTGCTGCAAGTTATGACTGTATGTATTATTAGGAATGAAGTGAAAAAAGTGATTTTCTTTTAGCTTCAAATTTTTGAAGTTTTTGATAATTTCTCTGTTGTTTTAACAGAAATAATGGGAGGGGGGTATTTTTTTTTTTACATTATTACACATTGATATTATTTTTTTTTCTTTCTTTTCACAGACATTATGTAGCAATCCTTTTGTCACTAACTTGCCTGATTTTTGATATTTATGCATCAAAATTTATACAAAAGTTAAAATTAGTTGAGGTCAGTAAATATTTGATCATTTTAGAAATAGTAGTAAATGAAATGTTTTTTCCTACACCATTTACATTGTAGTCTTTGTATAATCTTGATTTTCCCCCCTTTATTATTTTTCCAAAACTGTCACATGTTATTCACTTAATATACTATCTGTTCCTTCCTTTTAAATTATTTCTGCTTCTTTTCAACTCATATTATTTTTCCTGGTTTTAGGTAGCCATTCAAACTGTCAGGGGGTTAGAATGATAAGGATGGTCAAACATTTCTCAGTTTACAATATGTATTTATAATTACAATCTCTTTTAAATGTCTCAATCTTTGAAGAATTACAGACTTACTAAAAGTGCAATAATTTCTGAGATGAGAAGCTATAGATGTCGTTAATAAAGAATTGAACTGATTACATCTTTTGTCAATTTACATGTACTATCGAAATAAGAACATGTATTCTCATTTTTATTGTCTTTCTTTATACCAGTTTATTGAACTAATTTTATTCTGTAAATTAATGTGTCTTCCAACCATTTAATCAATTGATCAGTGCTATATACACTGTATATATATCCTAATTTCAAGAATTGAGGAGGTTTTATCTATAAAGAAATAAATTGGAGACTGTATGTTTTGCCGTATTTTATGAATTTATTCTTATTTGTAAAGAAGTGCCACGGCATGATAAAAAAATGTTCTGGTAATTTGTATATGATTTATTTAACAATAGCACAGAAACTTTTGATTCAGATACTTGAATGTTTTTTTTTTTTTTCTAAACAACGATGTACATGTAGATATGTTAACTCCTCATACATGTAAAAACTGTTTTTCATGTAGTTATTTTGATTGTGTGCTAATTTTATTGATAAACTTTTTGCACTTAATTATCCACCAAGTTTTGTATTACTGAAATCTACAAGAATGTTTATTTTTGTGATTCCAAAGTTTTAAACACCAGTATATAAATCTATATACAATAATATGCCTGGGAGTGGTTCATTATTGATCTGTTTGGAATTTTAGGCTTCATTCATATTAAAAAAAATATTTTATAAATTATATGCATGCTTTTATAAAAACAGCAATTTTCTTTGATTTCACTCCTGATTTATTAACAGTGCCAATTTATAACAAAATCTTGTTTGAAACTGCCATTCAATTTATTTGAAAAATATTACTTGACAAACACAAGTCTGTAAAGTAAATGATTTATTTCTTGTGATTATATATATTTTGTTTCTGATTAATTTATTTCAAAATTCCTATTCTTTACTTATTTTCTAAAATGTAGCTACCTCAGTATTATATTTTTGGTTAAGGAAAAAATATTTGCCATGGATGAAGAAGTTAAAGTATTTAAAATTCTGCAGTGTTGTAGATACTGGAGGATTGATTTGCCTTGTAGGATGTAAAGATATTTTTTTTCAAATTCAGATGTTTATAGAAGTGCTAAATACATATGTCGAACATGAACAAACGTTGTGTGGTTTACATACACCTGTGATACACGTATTTTGTCTTTTTTACATTGTATGTTTTCATTTTCCTCATCCGTCCATTTTATAAGAAAAATATTTTACCAGAATCTTTCACACAGTGATATGGAAAAGGATGCATTAGCAGATGAAGTTTCTTTAGCAGCATATTTTCCTTGTAAACTAATTGTTATTTATTTTTTCTCTGCATGAAAGTTGATCAACTTTTTGTTTTACACACATGTGTGATATTGTTTTTTGTTACTGGATTGTGATTCATTGTTTTTCTTCAATAAATGGGATAGTTTCTAATTATTTGGTTTTGATTTAAATCTAGAAACTTTTTCTAACATGGATGATTTCCACTAGATTAAGGTGTGTCAAGGTCGACTTAATTGTGTGACTCTGAATGGGAACTGAATGGCAAACATATCTATGTGAAAGACTAATTCATGAAATTTACTAAGCATGATTAGAGTACCTTGCTTTCTTGTAGGCCAACATCGCAGGAAAGGGGGGGGGGGTCGAAAATAACAGTTGACTGTGTTTTGTGTGTAGTTACTGCCGGGCTACGGGCAAATATATCTCTGTTTAAGATTTAAATTATTGAAACTTACTAAATTGTGATAAGAGTACCTTGATTTCTTGTAACGCAACGTCGCGGGAAGGGGGAGGGGTCGGAAATAAAAGTTGGCTGTATTTTGAGTGAAGCTACTGCCGGGACAGGTGAAGAAATGTAAAACCTTTGGTGTGATTAAAGATCTTTTAAGTGACAGCCAGTAATATTTTGGTTAATAAAATTCGTTTTAGCTGACCTAAGTCAAAGCCCGGGGTTTATAGTTTACAAACAAGCATCAGAGTTCCCTGTGAGGAATCCTCCCCGGGAGTCCGAATCTGTCTTCTTCTCCCCCCGCCACACTCGCATCGTGTCCAATCAATTCTCCTTAATTAACAACTACACTGCCCCTCTGTTTCATCTTAAAATGGGACGAAAAATTAACAGAATTCGTTAATTACTGAAAGGGGGATTCATACAGTTTTGAAAATAACCCGGAGTTCTGATTTATTAATTAGGATTTTCTTTTGATTTTGGAGGAGTACAGTTAATTGTTTATTTATCTGTCATATTGTCTCGTGTCAATAAGTTTCCCTTTTACTGACAGTAAGTGTAAAAAACGATAAGATTAGAGATAAAGTTTTATCTGTGTGTTTTCTGGTTGTCAGTAGCAGTCCGATAGGACCGTTATCCCTGCGGGGCCCAGTCACTACACAAAAATAAAAATTAACAACATCTATGATCAAGTGTCACTTTTCTGTGTATCGTAACCGTTTAATTATTTTTTTCTCCCGTTTTAGATCAGATGATAAAATAATTCTAGTGGAATGCTTGTTAGACCTCGCTATTGTGTTAAAGAACTCCAAATTTACATCGTTATAATGAACTCAAAGAATTTTTTTTCTTCTTAATTTTTTGTTTATTTTAGAAGGGGATTAAAAATGGAATGCGTGAATTAAAATGATGATACAGATTTAATCACATATTTGTCTCTTCTATTGAGGAGCCGACAAAACATTTTTTTTTTTGGAAAGCCACCAAAAAACTAAACTCTACTTTTGATTTAATGAATCATATCAGAGAGTGTTATAGATATGTCACTAGTCTGACCCGTCTACCCAGCGTCTCCCGGCCTGAACAAACGTGTTTTATTATTCCTTTCTAAGTCCATAGTTTCTCCGTTATCTTCCATACAAAAACAAGAATTTAAATCTGTTTCAATTTTTTTAATACCAGAATTTTTTCAAGGTACCAAACAAAACCCGACTGTGTTCAATTATTTTACCTGCAGGACTTGATCAAATGATGATAGTATTAAATAATAGTATTATCAGCCGCTGTGTATTCATTGCTAGAGATAATGCTCCCAAATCCCGCCAAAAAATCGGATTAAACGAAAATGACGAATTTGAGGTTCAACCTCGGTGGCCTAACAACAGGTCCCTATAGATATTTAAGCGTTTCAATAACAAAAGTATAAATTTCCTTATTTTTTATCTCTCAAACAAAAGGATCTTGACAATATTCAGTAATGAGTGTGTTCTTTTGAATTGAAATATCGATGGCTACTGATCGTTGCATTGTAATCGGATCGGGCTCAGGGTTTATGGTGCGAAAAACGCCCATAAGTCCGCCGCCCATTTTCGCCAGACTTTTTCTCCGAAGAACTTGAAAAGGAAACCGAAAATCGATTACCAACCATTTTTCGCACATAATTAGTAATATGTGAAAGAAAAGGCTATTCCTAAATAACTATGGGTTTTCTAAGATATGTTCTACCCATTTTCAAAATAACGAGCACTTTGAATTTATTTTAAAATGTATTTAAAATTTATGTTAAATTAACATAATTTTTAGTGATAATTTTTGTCTAGATAATTATTAAAACTAAATAATAAATCGTGTTTATTTGCCTATCAGAGAGTTGCCTACAGGTTTATCCCTAAGTCTAGTTTTTATGTAACCTTGGAACAATTAAGAATGAACTTACATTAAAAATTTGACAGTGTGAGTACATTAATTTATTAAGACACCAGAATCAATGAACCAATATTCAGACTGTGAACATTTTATCGCACGTACATACTTAATTGTTCAAGATACATGGAATGTCAAATTTTAACTTCATTTTACGGTCCAAAAGGTGTTTTCAAGTGTCAAAGGTCGCGAAAAAGGCATTGTCACCCAGGGGCGAGGCGCTGGCGCTCGGACCGGCCTATCCACGGTCTATTGTAGATTTCATAGATCGATAATGTATAGATCTCACAGATTGCTAACAATATTGTTCTCCCATTTAGCACGCTAATAGATTTATTGACCCTTATTTTGATTATACGAGGAAAACTAATTTTTTTATTGACTACTTGGTGTTTTATTTAATTAAAGATAAATAACATAACTTTACACTTTGGTTTTAATTCTAAATTTTTTTTACTAAAGAAATAATAAATGAGTAGAATTTATTTTATTTATTTATTTTTTTTTTTTTGTAAGTTGAAAGGTATCTGTTTATTTTCAGTTCATTAAGAAAAAGAAACAAAGGAAAAACAGTGTGTGTATCATCTTCAACAACTCACAATGTATACTGTTTTTGCAACATCTAGATACTATGTTTTAATCACTTGCACACCTTATGATAACATACTAATTTTAGAAATACAGGAAATAAATAAGAAATATTTCAATAGGCAAGCTTTGGGTATTTTTTGAGTGCATGGACATTTTTCGGTGGTTTGAGTACCGTATTGTACTTGGGATGGGTTTTGCCACACATTATGTTTCTATTTCCTGCTGGGGGATCATTGTGCCCGTCACAATGGACGCAGTTTTTTATTCTACAGCCCTAATCACTTTATAAAATTTCACTCTCAAATCAGTAAAGTTCTGGCTGATTTTCTTTTGCCCGTGCGGCGTGTGGTATTTCTTTGTGGTGCTTTGCTATATGTCAGGCCGATGTCAGAACCTTGTGTCAAATGATTGCAGCATTAACTCGGACGTAACCGAGAAGATCCAGGCTGGTCAGAATTTATGGGGGTCACGCACAATGCGCTGTTTGTTCCCCCTCCCTGCGGGATATCGGAGTGGGCATAGCTCACGGTGTGGTCAAGAAAATCCTCGCGCGGCCGCTCAATATGTGTTGTTCCTATACCTTCTTTAATCGGAATAAACAGGGGAAACGAATCTTTTTTCAACAGAAAAAATACGGTTTAAATATATCGTATATAAAAACAAAAATTAAAAACTGAAATGCTGAAAAGTCTTTATACTTAACTAACTTACCGGGTACGCAAATTTAAAGCATTTGAATTAGTACCGAAGAACAGCGAGATGGTTTATTTACTTGTACTCTTAATTGTTACATACTTCTTGAAATATATCATATATATGAAATAGATAATACAGAAAGACCGTGCCAAAAGTATACTTATTAACGTCAAACTCCGCGCGCTGCAAGAACCGCATGTCAGGACCGACCATTCCGCTCAAAAATACATATTGATGAGGCGTCAATTTAATATTCATCGAGTCACCCTATCAAAAGTACATTAAGACATCTTTCTGATATTACACAAAAATCACGTAAATAAGGACATTAGAAATAAAAAAAAAAAGGACCAAGTCTGGTTATTTATTTGTGTGTGTGTGTGTGTGTGGTGGTGGGGGGGGGGGGGGGGGGTAGTGTTACTATTTGCCCAATATTCGTATGCTTATGAAATCAGAATGACCAAAAAAATTTATTTCAATCCCTTTCAGCATTTAAAAAGAAATGAGCTTTAATATTTTTAATATAATACAATTATTTATAAATTATTCTAAATATTATTTTTTTTCCAGTTTGAAAATTCAGATGTATGTTAATTATATATCCAGAATGTTAACCATTTCGAAGCAATTAAAAAAAAAAACTTTTTCCAACTATTTCTGTACAAAGGCGTGGACCACAACTGACTTTTATTGTTAAATAATATATATTTCATTTTTGTGCACTCAACAAGATAACATATCCCAATGTCAAATTTCGTTTTTCAACTATTTAATTATTTGTCTCTATTGGTATGATTTTTCTCTTCATTTCGATACTACATGATTTTCTCAACACAGATAGAAAATATTCTTAAATTTACTTTAGGACAATTTTGATAATATAATTGACAACAATATTTCTTTTACTGGATAATTAAATATCGTTTAGTTATTGCTTTTTCCAAACATATTAGCTGAATATTTTTTTCTGCTAAATTAATGATAGGGCAATAGGTCGCTATCTTTCCATTCAGCCGTCACAAATTGAAAGTGCCCCCTGCAGCGCGAGCAACAAGTTGAAGAGAACTTGTTCGACCAATCAGGGGGCGGGATTTCGGATGCGGCCTGGTTACGTCACGTGGATAATGAACCACTACTGGACACTGGTCACGACTAATAATGAAGTAAGTTGGAGATAATTTTCCCTCTGGCCGATCTTTGACACAGAATAAAAACTCACTGGAGGAAAACACGACTTGTCAAAACTTTTTCAATCTTTGAATAGTGACAATTGTTACATCGGCTAGAAGTGAAATTCATTTTTAACTTTCACCCCATGTTACTTTGGACATCCAAGTCATTCGGCCGTTGAGTGAGACGTTAATTATAGTTTGACGAATGATGAACAGTTACCCGAATTTTTCCTCTTCAAAAATATTTTCTTAAATTTGGCCGAAATATTTTTCTTAATTTTGGCCATAAAGTGACTCAAGACTTCCAAAAAGCAATTAGG